TGTGGTTGAGTGCGGTAGTGAAGTTCAAGATAAGTGTGCACAGGAGAAGAGATTTGGCGGTGCTGTCTTAGCTAATTCTTTAAGAGAAAAGAAGCTATTAGTAGTCTTTTATTCTTATACAAAGCTAGATGATTTTTTAAAAACATTAATGCTTTAATTCAAGCGTGTAGAGCTATTATGATACCTTTTGATATTATTGGTTATCAGTTTAAATATATACATATGTCTTTAGGAAAGTGCTATGGCTGCTTCTGCAACCTAAAAAAATGATCCAATGCTGAATATGATAGTGGTTTTATGATTATCTAAATATGTAGTGCGGGCAAGAAAAAAATGTGAATCAAAACAATGATTTTTTTAAAAATACATTTCCTATGCATGTCAAAAAAAAAATCTATGAAAAAATATTTATACTCAAACACAATCTGTTTCCAAAAATAGACATCTTGGCATTCGTATTCTCTGAAAACAGTGTTACTGCGTTATTCCTTCTTGTCGCCTTTCTCTCTTTCTCTTTCTCTCTTTCCTTCTTCTTTGTTCGGAAGGATAAACAGGATGTGGGCGATCACGGGCAAGGGTAATGAGGCGATTTAGACAGGTTTTATTTCGGTTAGGCAGCTAATAAGGGCTATTTTCCCTACTTTTCTCAGAGGCACAGGGATTAGGGTTAAGGGAAATCTTTAAACAACTAATCAGGTTCGGTTTAGGTGCCGGGAGACAAAGGGGAAAGGAGAGAGAGACAGAATAAAAAAAGATGAATTTAAAGGGATCGAAAACTCTTTGTCTCTTTTTTTTTCTTCCCCTTTTTTCATCTTTCTCCCTCTCTCCCTCTCCTCCTCTCCCTGTCTCTCTCCTTTCTTTCCTATTGACTGCCAAGACTGACCTGCTGCAGAGGGTGTGAACGCTCAAATTGCTCGCAGACAACCTGTGTAGAGAACGAGGAATCGGTGTTATAAATACAGGTTGCTGTTCTCGTGTTGCACCTGCGAACACTAGGGGGGTCGTAGGGATAGAGCTGGGGGGGGTATCTTCGGATAGGAGGGTAGAGGGGGGGGAGGTGGCATTCACAAGATGGATAGGAGAACGTAAAAAAAAAAAAAAAAAAAAAAAAAAATTACGGTGATGAAGGAATGTGTATAAACGTTCTCTAACAACCAGGGAAAGGTTTCTATAGGGAAGAAAACGCCGTCATGTTGGACTGAAAACTGTTCAGACGCAGAGCGGGAAGTTTGCTGTGAAACCCACATAGAGAAACCATAGAACAGTCCTATATGGTGGGGTATAGAGTAACCAAAATCAATTTAGTTGGGAAAATATAACGAATATGTTCGCTCTCTCTCTCTCTCTCTCTCTCTCTCTCTCTCTCTCTCTCTCTCTCTCTCTCTCTCTCTCTCTCTCTCTCTCTCTCTCTCTCTCTCTCTCTCTCTCTCTCTCTCTTCTTTCTTACTCTCATTTTCTCTATCTATCTCTTTACAGCTGATATCCTCCTATTCAAAAGATATGTATCATTCTCAATATTTCCATAATACTTCAGCCATTAAAAGGAAAATAGAATGAAAAAAATACATAAATTTATCATATGAAAAAGTGAACAAAATTTAACATCTTCGATCCAAAGATTTTACCAAAGCAAGTTTGGCCTCCAACTTAATCGAAGCAAAAAAGAAATAACAGAAATAAAATGAATAAATATATATATGAAAATATAGATAGAATTTTTTTTTTTTTAATGCATCACAAAATGGATTTAACGAGTTTTTTTTTTGTAATTAACTAATGTAATAAATGTTATATATGTTCATCATTTAATATTTATTATTATTGCTAATATTATCATTATCATTATTGTTATCATTATCATCATTATCATCATTATCAACGTCATCATCATCATCCTCATTACTATTATCAATTATCTTTATTACCATTATCATTATCATTATCATTATCGTTGTTATTATCATCATTATCATCGTTACTAGCATCAATAGTACTATGATTTTCATGAATATTATTATCATCATTATTATCATTGTCTTTATCATTATCATTATCATTCATTAAGATTATTATGTTCTTATTACTACTATCATTATCATTAATATAATCATGAATATCATTATCAGTATCATTATGATTATCATTACGATTATCATAAGCTTACCAGTACCATCATTATCACCATTATTATTATATTTTATTATTATTATTATCATTATTATTATTATTATTATTATTATTATTATCATTCGTGTTACCATGATCATCATTATCATCATTATTATTATCATTATAACTATCATTCTTATTGTTATTATTGCAATTTCAAATGCCCGTTAATTGATTAACATCTATTTCTTATCCTTTTGTTTATCACTACCACTATAATTAAAAAAGATCTCCTTTTTGTTGATTTTTTAATCTTTACTTTCATTCTCTTTTATCTTTCTTTTTATTTTTCCTCTCAGTCTATGCCACTTCCTCCTCTCAGTACACTTTT